TCAGAGTTTTCTCGCGACTCAAATAGACTTATCAGATTAAAAGATAGGGTATGCGTTCCTCAAAATGAAGAAATGAGGCAAATGATATTGGGAGAGGCACACAAGAGCAAGCTGAGTTTCCATCTTAGAGCAATGAAAATGTATCAGGATTTGCAAAGAAATTTCTGGTGGTATGTTGCAAAGTGTTTAGCATGTCAAAAATCGAAGGCAAAACATCGACATCTATCGAGAGAATTACAACTGTTGAAGATTCCCGAATGGAAATGGGATAGTATCTTCATAAACTTTGTATCTAGACTGCCAAGAACAAAGAGAAATCACAATATTGTGTGGGTGATTGTAGACCGTTTAACAAGGACTGCACGTTTCATTTTGATTAACATAAGGTATAAACTAGAGAAGTTAGCAAAAGTGTATATTAATGAGAGAGTCAGGTTGCACGGGGTACCTTTAAGCATTGTGTTAGATCGAGACCTAAGATTTACGTTAAAGTTCTGGGAGCGTATGCAAGAAGCTTTGGGAACAAAGTTAAAACTTAGCTCATTATATCATCCCCAAACTGTTGGACAAACGGAGTGCAATATCTAATCACTGGAGGATTTATTGCATGCTTGTGTGATGGACCAGCAAGGATTTATAAACTTTTCTTCTTATGTGATTGAACTTGATCATGTTCAAGTTTAAGAAAATTTGTCATATGATGTTTTCCCTGTGAAAATTATGGATCATCGAGTCAAACAGCTAAGAGAAAAAGATATTTCATTGGTAAAAGTAACTTGGAACACAAGTGATGAAGGAGATACCATTTAGGAACCTGAGGATAAAATAAAGGAAGCATACTCTCATCTCTTTCTAAATTAGTGAATTTCGAGGGCGAAATTCCTAAAAGGGTGAGAGAAGTGTAACACCCTCTTTTTTATTATTAAATAAATTATGTCTTGTTTGATATTAAGTAGTATTAAAATGCATTTAGAAGTAAATATGGAGAATTTTTAAAAGAATTCTGGTGCAGGGAGTCTCGCTCAGGCGAGGCAAATCTCGCTTGAGCGAGACCGAGCGCCCTGAAATATGATATTTCAAAAGCGAGAGTGATCTCGCTCAGGCGATAATTCACAGAAAAAAATATCCTACTTTTTGGAAGTTATCTCGCGCAGGCAATAAAAAATGATATGACAATAAAAAAATTAATAAAGTACTTGATTAGGTAATTAAGAAAGTAAAATATCATCTTTTTAAATGTTATTTTAACGTATCACTTATCATAATTATAATTACTATAGTAGCTTGTATAATGCATAAATATTTTTTATAATAAATATACATACAATTTAATAATTAAAAATATAATTTTATATTTTGGTAAATAATTTTACATGTATAAAAATATTTATTTTAAACAATAACCTTTTTAAAATAACTTAACTCTATAATTATGATTAATATGTATCAAAATCATAATGATTTAATAAAATTCAAAAATTATCTTAAAATAATATTTCTATTGTATAGCATAAAAAACTTTTGAGTTAAAAGTCAACAATTAATATGTATTTATAATCATAAATTTAAGAGATGAAACTTGTCACGACCCCTTTTATAAGGAACTGAGAACATTGTTTCTACATCACATACTTATTTAAGATAAATAAATAATAGAGAATATAAGTATAAAATTCATTTCTCATTCAAAATAAAACAAAGTTTTTTACAACAAATATTCAATAGAACAAAATAATATTATATTTAGTTCATAGTATTCAAAATACCCAAAATTATACTACGTAGCTCTCTCTACAAAGGTCTCAAAATATAAGAAAAAAGGACTTTGATGCAAAATTACTCGACTCCAACTTCTAACATTTCTCGACTAGCCCCCTCAGCCTGTGAACTAGATGCAACACCTGCTACATTTGCTCACGTACCACTGTACGATCATCGCAGTACACACGCACACAACGACATAGAAAGAAATGCAAGGGTGAGCTTACAAAAATAAAATAAAATCGTATATATATAACAAAACATTACTCACAGCAACAACCCCATGCATTACCAGCCCATCTAATGCACAACATGAAAATGGTTTCTAATTGGTTTCACAACTTAAGTAATTCATAAGGAACCGAGCGTGTTCGGGAGTGACCCATTTCAGTATCTGGATCCAGACAGCACAGCATAACAGCTCAACATGAACTTACCGTTACAAGTCTACCCACATAAACATGTAACTCGGCTCTATAATGATGTAAACCATATATCTCAGCATGATGCATATCGCTAAAATTATTTTAACAGCTCAGCTAAGGCAAGTTTATAATAGATCAGCCAAAATCTCAGCATTTTAAATCAATTAACAGCAGTTACAGCTTAGAAAATAGCTTTTATTCAAAAGATCTAACAAAATTCATATAAAAACTTCTTGTAATAACATATCAATCGTTCAAAACATAGTTTATAGGCTAAAGTAAGCTCTCCTTACCTTAGAATGGTGATTCAATCTAGATCTACCGAATATTACTTGTTTTATAGCAAGATTCACCGAAGATTTGGCTTTAGAACGAAGTTTCTCCTAAGAACACCATAAACTTCTATGAGAAAGAGAAGAAGAAAAGAAACGAACGGTAAATCTAGCTTCAAACTTAAAGAAACTTATTTTAAATCTTTTAGAACGGACCCAAAATCACAGATCTGAAGAGAAATATAAGTTTAGGAGGGTTTAATATAAGAGAAAATGGTGGTATATGGCCTTGGAACCTTTGAAAACCTTGGATAGGAGTGAAGAAATGAAAAATTTCGTGTGAAGCCCCTTTTTATAGAAATTTTTTTAAATTTACTATTCACTGCCTTACTATTCATGCCAGAAATACTATGCACATGTACTGTACACGCATTGTACGCATATGTGACGTTACTGATGATGTCAGTGGTCATTGTACATACGCAGTTTGTATGCAGTTTTACTGTTCATTGACACTGTTTATACGATACTGTTTACTTTTTTTTTTTTTCAAATAATTTCAAACTCCATCTAAATCTATTCCAATACCAAATAATTTTTCAATTAACATTTAACAAGTATAGGTTACTCAATAATAGATTACAAGCCTCACAAAACTTTTAAAAATAAAATCTAAATTAAAAAAATAGACGAAAATTATGATAATTTATCTTAATTTTTACAAATATAAAAATAAGTATGGACAAGAAATATAAAAAATTATATAAAATAATAAATAAAATTTTACTAGCAACTTTTTTTTTTTCTATTAAGTTCACTAGCAACTTTAATTTTCAGGTTAGAACTAAATTAATAGAGATGTAAGTGAAATTATTATAATAAAAGTAATACATTTTATATATTAATTTTAGTCAATTTAATCCTAGAGTATACAAGTGGAGAAATGCGAAAAGAGTAGTTCCACTAATGTTTTATTTTTTAAATAAGTAATTCTTATTTATAAATTTTATGATTCGATAAAAATTTATAAAATGAGAATTTATATATTTAAAAATTACACAAATTTTGAAGTTTATAACAGATGTACATTAGTATATAAATATTTTTTATTTAACTCTAGGAAAATTTTTATAAATATTTTATTGGATTAATATATTTAATATATCAATTTTATACTTCACTCTCTTCTCTAAATCTATTATTTTTAACAAATATTATTTTATAGTCAGTATTTTATCTTGATTAGTTAACGATATTAGTTATAATTTTTGTTTTACATCTTATATACTAATTATTTTAAGCTTTAAATAAATATTGTTAAATAAATTTTTACAAATTTTAAAATTATATAAATACTACAATTTTGTGGTATCCATATATTTTACTGTTTATGACTAATTAAGAGTAAATTTAGAATATATATATATATATATATATATATATATATATATATATACTAAAATACTATCTATAGTCAAAATATCAATTTGAAGATAAACAATCTCTTAAAATCAGCTTTGTTAATTGTTTGGTTGAAATCTTATATCCTATCTTCAAAGACTTTAAATTTAATATATTTATTGAAAATTAACACACTTTCACAATTATTTTAGACTATATTAAAACTGATAATTTTACTCAAAAGGTTTGAATTTATTATTTTTTTTTAAAAGAAAAAGTATAACACTTTTACTGCATAATGCATATTGTTTCATTTTATAACTTCTTAAAAATAAAAATTGAGATTTATGCATATTTTGAAAATTGAAGCGATTTTTAATTCATAAATTTGGCTTTTTAATTTTTTTTATTTCTTTTAATTTTGGAAAATTGAAAATGAAGCATGCTGTAAAATGTTAAAACTTTCTTGAAGCAAATATCTTTAACTCAAAATTTTATTTATGAAAACAAAATTTTGATTATAAAACAATTTGAGTTATTGTTAAAATATGCGATAATTTATATTTCATTACAAGCAAAACACTACAAAAAGCATAATAAAACTTTAGTGTATTCAAATATTCAATTTCAGACAATCATGTTTACATAAATTTTTTTATTTGATTTTTAATTTTAATTAAGTTGCTCAATTTATTTTTTCCATATTATTTTTTATTAATAATTTCTTAAAATTTTTTATTATTTATTTATATAACGTCTCAATTGTCTCATGAATTTGATATAAACGATAATGTCACATTTACACCTTCGTTTTTTTTTTTTTATATATATATATTATTATAATTCAAAAGTCATAACTGTATGAATCAAAATTTTATTATAAAATATGATGCTTTGAATGACATGTCTTATTCTAATTAAATTATATGAGATCACTCAATTAAATGTTATTTAAGTAAAATGAAATATGTTAACTAACATACGTAAATTTTTTTTTTAAATTAGATTATTCTTTTAAATGACCAAATAAAAAAGTTGCTAATTTTTTAATAACCAAAACTTCATTGAAGCCAAACAACTGTAATCAAAGTTGCATAAGCACATAATATTTTTAAATAATCAAAACACACAAGACATAGATATATCCTATTGATAAAGAAGAAGTATAAGCAATCATTGTTTCTAGTTCATTACTTGTAGAAAACTTGCTCTACCCAAGAATGACAAGCCCAAATTTTGGATATGAAAGAGGATGGAGGTCTTCAAGGGGCTGAAAAATAATAAAAATAATGTAAGTATCTCGAATGTGTAAATGAAATGAAAATATGTTGAATTACTTCCAGAAAATATTAAAAAAATCCTATCTACAAATAATAATAATAATAATAATAATAATAGTAGTAGTAGTAATAATAATAACAACATTAACATATTTCAAAAATTTGAAAAATAACAATATTCTTATATTAATGATAAATAATGTTCGTCACTTTATAATAAAAACATTTATCACAACAATATTGGGATCCTTACACTTTTTTCAAAACTATGAAGTAATAAGAACTAAGAATTTTGTTTTTATTTTAGGTTCAAACACATATTTAGTTCTTGTAGTTAACACTTTTTTATAAATTAATTTTTACATTAAAAGAATTTATATTTTAATCTTTATATTAGTATTTTTCTTACTTTTAATTATTATCATTATAATTCTATTTAAGAATGTGATTTAGTTAATAGAAAATTTTATTAATTGTGTTATATTATATATTTTTTATGCAAGCTTTAAAATAAAAAGGAATATAATATATTAATTTTATTATGAAAAATGAAAATAAAAAATTGAAAGATTTTTCAATATTTTTTACATGAATTTATCTCCATCTCAACATTTATTTAAAAAAATTGTTATAACTTTTAAAAGATATTTTTCATTGGATAAGCTACAAGAATAAAAAATAACAAAAGTTTAATTTAGATATGGTAATACCTACAAAAATTAACAACTTTAAAACACATAAAGATAAAACATCTCAAAGATGAAAAGTAATTAATTAAATTGTACAAAATAGAAGAAAGTGCAATTTTACAGAAACAATTAGTCAAGATTAATAAAAAATTATATAGTTTACTTTTTATTGAAAGCTATTATTTGACATTAATTGTACAATATTTTTTATTAAGAAAAACCTTGGCAGAAGCAAAATTATGTCTATTTGGCATAAAGATGCATACAATATGGCAAGGATAAAACATTATTACCAGCAATGCTCTGGATCAACCCCTGTACTTGATAAGTTTAATTGCAACCATGACATAAACAGAGTCTATTAAATTGTTCAAGAACTTGAAATAAGCATGCCTCCAAGAACGATTAATCAAGATTGAACCGAAGATCCCCCAAAAGCCTATAACAAATCCAAATGACATGCTAATGTAAAATCCACGAGTGAAGAATGAATCATCTTTCTCTTGAATTGGTTCTTGCGGTGGTTCCCCTTCAACACACAATTTCTCAAGTGGCGCCCCACAAAGATCAGAATTATCTTCATAACTGGAAGCATTGAAACTTTGTAATTGTGTACCAGTTGGAATTGCTCCACTTAGATGGTTATGCGACAAATCTAACATGCTGAGTCGATGAATTTGAGTAAGACTCCATGGAATTGAACCAACAAATTGGTTTCTTGATAAGTCAAGAAATTCAAGTGATGCAAGCTTTCCAATATTTGAAGGAATTTCTCCTCTCAAATTGTTTCTTGATAAATTCAATGAAATCAATTCAAATAAATCCTCTATTTCTGCTGGAATTTCTCCTGAGAAGTTGTTGCTTGAGAGATCAATGCTTTTTAAAAGGAAAAGCCCATAATTCGTGAACACTTCTTCCGCACCTTTCCACATTAAGATTGCATTCAAATCGTAAGAGATATTTGCGATCGTATAACTCGTGTTGACAAAATATGAATGCTGTGGATAATCCTTCGAGGAAGTCTTTCGAGCCATTGAAGTGAAATTTTGGAAGCATTTAGGAATCTGTCCAGAGAAATTATTGAGTGAGAGATCCAAAAGTTGAATGCTTTCTAGATAACAAATTTGTAATGGCAAACTTCCGAAGAATTGATTCCTTGCTAAGATTAAAATTTGCAACACTTGCAACGTGCTTCCAATCCATGTAGGGATAGGTCCTGATAATCCATTTTCTGCCATATCTATCATTACTAACTTTGTGCAACTTCTCAACGACAAAGGAATTTCCTCTGTTAAGTTATTGTTTCTCATTAGCAGTGCTTGAAGTTGAAGAAGTGATCCTATTAAAGAAGGAATCTCTCCTGAAAATTTATTATGACTCAAATCTAGATAAACTAGTGACTGGAATTGGCTCCAACAATCTGGAATTTGTCCAGATAATTGATTGTTTGAAAGGTCCAGTCGGTATAAAGTATCGGCTACACCGCTGGCACATAAAAATGGAAGAGAATTTGAAAATTTATTGTTTGATAGATCAAGAAACATCGAACGTCGTAGAAATGGTGGTATTGGACCTTCAAATTGATTCGATGCAAGAATTAGAGAATATTGAAGATTCTTTAGTGGTAAATTTGAAACTACACCTTTGAGATTGTTGTGTGAAATATTCATTCTCATCAACATTTGCGATGCTAATTTAGCCCAAAACCAACGTGGAACAGTATCTGATATTCCAGCATCAGAAATGTCAATAATTTGGTAGTTATTTTGTGTTTGCAACCATTTGGGAAATGCTGGACCTAGCTTGCAAGATCTCAATCTGACGGCGGACAACTGAAATGGTGGGACCCAATTGTGGGTAAATGCCAAGGCCAATGAGTTATCAGACAAGTCCAATGAGACTAACTCAGACATATTAGCAAAGTGGGAGTCAGTGATCACACCTTTCATAGAGTTTGAATTCAAATATAAACTCCCTAGTTCTGTTGGAAATTGAACATCTTTAGGAATGGTCCCATTAAGCCTGTTTTCACTAAGATCCAATTCTTTCAAAGATGGGAGCAGTGGACGGAGGTTGGGCAGAGTGCCGTTGATTTGATTCATGCTTAGATCTAATCTGTGCAATGAGTATCTAGCATATCTTGACAAGTGATGGATTATCGTTGGAAGCTCTTCACTCAAACTATTACTGGACAGGTCCAGTGATTGCAAAGTACCTGCATTTTGAAATGAATTTGGAACTCCACTCTCTTTCTTCAATTGATCGAAGGATAATACGCTGCTTTTAGGTATCTTCACACTTAATCGATTCCCTGATAGCCAAACTCTTTTGAAATTCGAAAACATTGAGAAGTCAGATATTGTGCCATTGATTTTGTTGCCACTGAGACTTATTTCTCGCCGTGAATATCTAGAACACTCAGAGAAGTGACTAAATATCCTTGTTACTTCTTCGTTCAAACTATTATAAGAAAGATCCAACGAATTCAAAGTACATGTGCTCCCAAATGACTTTGGAACCCCACCTTCTAAAGAGTTTGAGCTGAGTGACAAAAACTCCATTTTACATGGCAATGTGGTACCTTGTGGTATCCTTCCACTTAGTTGATTTCCAGAAAGATCTAACATTTCTAAAGATGAGAATATTAAGAGGTGAGGTAAAGAGCCAGTGATTTTATTATATGATAGATCTAACTCTTCTAGTGAGTTTCTAACACAGCCACTAGACAAATTATGAAGAATTGATGGAAGGTCTTCTGTCAAATTGTTGCCACGCATGTATAAAGAATGCAGGGTGCATATATTCACCAAGGATTTCAAAACCTCATCCTTGAATCTATTAAAGGAGAGGTCAACCCGGTGAAGGGAATTCATTACCATGCCAAAATGATTTGATGGGGGAGCCTCCAAGAGGTTACCCCTAAGATCAAGCTCAGAAAGATTGGAAGTAATGTTTGACAACCATTGGAATATTATGGATGATGTGAAGGTGTTGTGAGAGAGATCCAAGACAGAGAGAGACGTAGAAACGTTGAATTTAGAAGGCCTCATTGAAAGGATAAAATGATCGGAAAGGCCACAATAAGATAAACTTAGTTCTTTTAGTGTTGGAAGGTTGCCAATCATTTGCAGCCAATAATGAGAACCGTTGGCATTAGATACAGAGTAAACGTAAAGATGGGTTAAAGAAGTGAGATTAGACAGCCACTGACCTCCACCGTGATTCCCATCATCCATTTTGAGAGCACCATAATATCCACCAAGATAAAGCTTTTGCAAGTTGGACAGGTTCCCAAGCTGAGATGGTATATTTCCTTCTAAATAATTGCTCCTGAGATCAAGATGCTGCAACATGGAGAGATTTCCAAGTTGATAGGGGTTTGAACCCTCCAAATAATTCCCAGCAAGATTTAAGTATTTCAAATGTGGGAGAGACCCAAATTGACTTGGAATTTTTCCACCAAAACCAGAATACGAGAGATCAAGGGATCTCAAGTTGTGAAGAGAAGAGAAAAACTCTGGGATACGACTCTCTTGAAAATTATTCAAGTAAGAATGTTAGGAAGACACTAATCACCTTCAATTTTGAGTGTAGTTTCGAGGTGTCATCGCCAAGCTTAAAAGAGAGTCCAAAATAAAAATCATATCTTACTTTTACTTGAGAAAAATTTAAGCTCTTACAATTTGTAGTTAGAAAAAATAAAAAACAGGAAAAAATCTTTTAATTCCTCGTACCTCACTTGTTATAAAATAGTTGACTTATTGACTTCTATAGATTCAAAACTTCATTTAATTCTAAAATTTTATTATTCTTAATATTAAAGCTCATGAAAAATTTTAGTTTTCTTCAAAAAAAAATTAAATAGTTATTGAGTTTATCAAATTTGCAGATTATTTTTTAAATATTTTAATCACTTATAGAATTTTTTTTACAGTCCTGGTGACTATACATCAACTGAAAGAAGTTTTTTTAGAGTTAAAGTTAATTAAAACCTACCTAAGATCACCAATGTTACAAGAACCATTGAATGGTCTCACAATTTTATTAATCGATAAAGAATTTTTAAAAAATATTAATGTTAATGTTATCATTAATAATTTTGCATCTCATAATGCTCATAAAACCTATTTTTTATGATTTTTTTGTGTTTATATAGTTAATTATAACATAGGAGTTGTTTGAATGAAAGTATTTTTTTTATAATTTTATTAGAAAAATTTATAGCCACTTAAAAAGAGTGTATTATTTTAATAAAATTATTAATATATACTTTTATTTTGTTTATTACATTTTATAATTTTTTTAAAGAGTCATAATTTTTTATTTCGCCTAAGGTTTTAAAAAGGTCAAGAACAATTCTGACACTAATTAATACATCTTAGATATTTTATTCATTAAGTGAATTGTTTATTTAATATTTTAATCTTCATGTCAAGAATTTTATTTCGTTTTATTATATTTTGTCAAATCTTTATTTAAGTTTGAAAACGAAGAAAAGCTTAGAAAAGTCTTTAGTCATTTCATTATGTACAATAAATTACTAAACTTTAAAGTTGATAAATCACATATAAAAAGTTTTATGCACCAATTGTTTATTTTTTTTCTTCGTATAAATATAAGAAAATTTAATTCTTGACGTCAACAGAAAGCATGTTAAATGTTTAAATCAATAAAAAAAATAGTTGATTTGCATTTGTTCAATTTTGTAATTTTTTTTAACTCAAACTGAATAAATCTAATAAGATTTATATTCATTTAAAAAATACAAAAAATTAAAAATTATAGAAAAAGATTATAAATATTATAATTTATCATAATTTAAAATATTTTAATACAATCAAATACAATACTGATACTTCATTAAATAGTCAAATAAATATTGAGTAATGCTCTTTTGAAAAACCTATTTTTATTAAATAGTCACATAAATCTTAATTATTTCACATACAGTAGTTTGTTTTGGATAATTTCGTTTCCAAATATTTGAACCCAATATCTAAATCAAATATAATTACAATTTACTTTTTAATCCAAATCAACTCATTATTTTGTTTTTCTTTCATAATAGAATGATCAAGTTTGCAGGTAGAAGTGTATCCACTTACAGTTTTGTTGAGAATAATAAATATTAATAATTAAATATATCAAGAATGATGACTATTAAAATACAAAAGTTGTAAACATTTAAAATATCACATAACTTTAATTAGTTTTAAATCTAGTTGTACGACTGTACAAGAAAGATTTATTTTTAATTAATTATATATAATTTAAGATTTTGATTAATTCTTTAATACTTTTTGATAGTGTTTAATTCTTAATTTTCTTAAATTGTAATTAAGTTTTAATGTGAAATTTTTTCTATATAAAATTTTCAATTCCTCTTTTCTAACTAATAAGTAGGTTTTTAGATTGAATATATTGAAAATGATTTAAAGCTTCAATATTATAGAATTAAAAATTTCAAAGAATTTTATAGAATGTGATGTTTTTAGAATTTTGAAAGAAAAATTAAGATTATTTTTATATTTAGTATAACATAATATTTTGATCCGGGGTTTTAAAACAAAAAGAAACTAATTTAAACAATTTAACTCTTGAAAATTTGAAGAAGAATAAACAGTTCTCTTAGAGAAAGATGAAATTAATTGAAGGGCTTAATTGTAATAAATGATGAATATTAATATCATTTTTAAATTTTATTTTAAATATTGAAATGATAAGCTTTTTAAATTGATAAATGTATATTAAATTAGCATTATAAAAATATAATAATTTTTTTAGTAATATTTTTTTATAATATCAAAATTAATTGAGAATGTGGTGGCAAAATGTCATTCTAAGAAAGAAATTTATTCATTTTTTTTTTCAAAGTCTTAGACATATCATGTGACAAGTTAATTTAGTCCTGGTTGTTAACAATCATTATTAGCCTATTTAGAGTAAGAAAAATTTTCTAAGTTATAAAATTCCCTACCAAACTTTCGTGGTAGGAATAGATTATGTTCTTTCAAGGAGATTAGGAAAATTGCAAAGCCTCTTCAAGAAGGCCATATTTCGAACAGGTTTGACAAAACATGAATAGGCTCAAAAGTGATAAAAATTAAGACAGACAAGAAAATATTATAAGTTCACAAGACTAAAGGCCTTTCGAGGAATTTCTGAGAATTTTCAAGTCACTGACACTCAAAACTCCTTGAAAAATAAGACTAACAGAAAATTATTCTAAGTCTACAAGACTGAAGGTCTTTCGTGGAGGAGCTTTTGAGGATTTTTGAGTCCCTGATACTCTGAATTGGTCAAAAAATAGGAACTGACAGGAAAAATATTCTAAGTCTATAAGACTGAATGAGCTCCCAGATTTCTCTCAAAATTGCTCGAAAATAAGAAATCACAAGGAAACTATTTTAAGTCTACAAGACTGAATGAGCTCTTAGATTTTTCCTAGAATTAGTCAAAAAGTAAAAATTGAGGGAGAAATTATTTTAAGTCCATGGGACTAAAAGCGAGATTGAGCATATAGGAATATGCTATTACAGTGCTATCTCGCCCAAGCAAGGTGATTCTCGCTTAGGCGAGATGAAGATACATTCGGCCCAACTGTCACCTCACCCAGGCGAGATGGGTTGCTCAGGCGAGGACCCACAAGAGAAATATCATGCTCTTTGGACACCATTTCTCTTCATAAACTCTGATTTCTCTTCATAATCAAGTTTGAACTTTGATTCTGAACGATTCCACTTAAGTTTTTATGGGTTAAATTTGATTTTCTCTGATCGTTTTTCGTGTTTTTGTTCTTACGGATATCTCTTGATATTCAAGAGAACTTTCATATGTGAACCTTACTCCTTTTCAACATATCTTCATAAACTCATCTCTGAGGTAAGGAGAGCTCTATTTTATTGTTATAGTATAATATTTATTTTATGCTCATAGAGCACTATTACGTGAATATGATATGAACATAGCTGGTTGAGATAGTTGTTGTGTGAAGTATGAATAAAAATATGTCTGTTTGATTGTTTGGACTGATTGCTTGTTTGGGCCAAATGGCTGATGTATGCTTACTTACAATGTATGATTAAGTACTTGATGTGGAATGTTATCAAACTAGCTGAGTGATTTTGTGTGATTTTATGAAATATATTGGAGTAAATGATATAAGGAAATGAAGTTGGTATGAAAGACTTACTGTTGAAAATTTTATCAATGAATGCATGCGGGAAATGCATTGGAATGAACTTAGTCTGAAAGTGCTTTATTAAGCACGATCTTATGAGTGAGAAAGAGAATAATTCTGAGAATGACTCTAAGAGTCGGATATGGATTGGATCTAGCATAAATAATTACAGAGATATACTGAGTCTGGAGATGATGAAAATTTGGAAGAAACATAGAGTGGTGAGTGACATTCACGTATGTGTACACACTTTTTTTGAGAGCGAATACAACATCACATGACCTCATACTCGTTTTCTAACTAGACTCTTGACTATGCTTTTGCTAAGGGGGCCCCAATTATTGTACATGTTGTATCCGTGTGCATGGGCTAACCGACGACTATTTATCTAGTTGAGTAAGACCTCGAGAAGTGTTAGAGGCATCGATATCTGTGATTACAGTGCACTGAGAGTGTATGTTGGAATATGAGAAAGGAAAATGGATAATAAATTATTGAATGCTATGCGTGATGTGAATATGAATTAATGAAATTGAATATGTTGTATGTATGATGAAATTATGATTGTACGTTTGATAATGATAGAATAGACGTTCATCCTTACTAATAATTTCAGGGAACTAGGATGACGAAGCATTAGGGAAGAATTAGATTAGTAGATAATTTTGTACACTTTAGGTTAAACTATGTATTTAATGAATATCAGAGCATATGTTATTTTAAATTTGCTGTACTGGTAGAAGATGAACCTAGAGTTTTTGTTGTGATAGAAATGAATTTTTCTTGTAGTATTCCATTTGATTTTCCTATGAATAAAATACATAAGACCTTATGTATATATATGTATAGAGGGACGATTAGGACTCTGACAGCCCTTACTTATCTATTTACTTACCATGACCATGACTCTCTTGAAAGACCTATTCGATGGACCTTCGAGCACATCATTGGGACAGAGGTCAGAGCTAGTTAAGGCGATAGTTATCTGAGTTCATACGATGACATAGACTTAAAAGACTTAGCTGAGATAGAGAGTTGGAACGCTGGAGATGAATAGGACCAATTTCAGTAGTTGGTTTTGAGTTGGGACTGCTCTGAGATCTATTTCATAGTAGTTTGGTGATGTAAGTATTTTTTAAGCTTCGTATATTTTGACAAACGATTTGTAAATTATTATACTTTATTTATGAAATTTATGCACAATCCTTTAACTTGTAAATTTTAATTATGTTTAACACAACAATTCATATTTATTTGTCCCATTTTTATTAATCTGAGTAGAGATATTTGTACAAATTACCTTAAAGAGAAGAAAATTACAATAATTAGTTATGATGAATTTTATTATACACGAACTCTGTATTTTACAT